ACACAGATAATGAGAAAAGTACAAATTTAAGAAGATAGAGCTCACTTCATAAAATTAAGAAATGTGTTGCACTGTGAACAAATAAATGTTATGCCTACCCAACTACTAATTTTTACACATCAAGTCTAGTAAGTACTAACATTCTAAAATCATTGTGTGACTTTTCAAATGATTTATGAATTGCTGAATTTTAAACATACCACTGAGCCAATTCTTGGAACTTTCTTCTCCCATGGACAGCCTGTCCATACCACTGTAATTGACTCAATTCTTCCAGCCCCTGTGCTTCCTACAATGATGGCACATGAGAAACATTTACGTTCTTCTAGAATATAGAAAATTCTGGGGGGCTGTCACCTAAAACTGTTATTTGTACACATGATTGCACCTTTCATAGTGCAGGGCTCGTAGTGAGAGTGAGAAACCCCAGTGATCACTCACAGTGTACTGGGGTCACTCCACCAGGGAGTCAGCCCATGGGTGTGTGACCAGAGACAGTGACTGGAGATCTTAAGAGACCAGGTCTCTGGGCCACGGGGAGGTGTGTGCCTGTGACCAGCAGGGGGCGCTGGGGGACTGTCCAGTGGTCCCTACACAGCTGCTCAGAGAGGACCAGTCACTTGAAGGACCCTGGTCCTGGGAGCTGGGCCCTGGGCTCACTGATGGGGACTCAGCAGCTGTGTCATCTCTGGCCTGGCACAGTCCCCTGAGCAGGGCCCTTTGTGTGGTCCCAGCAGCTGCTTCCTCCCAGGGCTCCCCCAAGGGGCAAAGCAAAGCCCCCCTCCTCAGTGTGCAGTGAGAGCTGAGCCCCAGCCCAGGGCTCAGGGAGGGGCTGGGCAGTCCCTGGATGGAAACACGTTTGCATGAGCAGCCCTTCCTCTGCAGAGGGTGGGGACAAAAGGAGGCCTGAGGCAGCCCAGCCCCACTGTGGGGACCAGGGGCTGTGTGCACCATGGCCTGGGCTCCTCTCCTGCTCATGCTCCTCTCTCACTGCACAGGTTGGGACAGGCCTCAGAGACTAGGTCTTAGTTTCAAGCTTGTATCAGCCTCTCAGTCTCAGGAGCCCAAGAGAAATTTGACCCTGGTCTCAACCCATCTCCTGTTTGTGTCTGTGTTTGCAGGTTCCCTGTCCCAGCCTGTGCTGACCCAGCCCCCTCCCTCTCTGCATCTCCTGGGGCATCAGCCAGGCTCACCTGCACCCTGGAAAGTGGCATCAGTATTGGCAGTTACAGCATATACTGGCACCAGCAGAAGCCAGAGAGCGCTCCCAGCCACCTCCTGAGCTACCACACAGACTCAGACAAGCACCAGGGCTCCGGGGTCCCCAGCCGCTTCTCTGGCTCCAAAGACGCCTCAGGGATTCTGGAGGTCTCTGGGCTGCAGCTGAGGACGAGGCTGACTGTTGCTGTGTGACTGGGCACAGCGATGCTGCTCACAGTGACACTGGTAAATGGGGACTGGGATAAAGACCGCCTGTCAGTCTCACTTAGTTTATGTTATGATGGATCCACACTACTGTCGTTTAAGCAAACCGGACATGTTTCCTAGGTTTTTTGCCAGATAATTATGAAGACTCAAAACAATCAGAGAACAGCTAAAACAATTGTTCAAGCAGCACAATTACCCCACAGACACAATTCCAGAGGAATTTCCTCTGCCAGAGTACACTTGCCACTGCATGCCAGCCTCACCCCGAGCGCAGCCCAATGTCCAGAACTCTGCCTGTTGGGCAGTGCGCAGCCTGTCGTCCTGCTCCCCGGGCCTCCTTCCCGGCTCGGAGAATCCACCTGTCCCCAGTGAGGCGCCTTCTCCGCCGTCCAGCGCCCACAGCAGTGACAATACCAGGGCTCTTGGAAATGCAGTGCTTCCTGGGACAAGGGGTCACTTCCATGAGAGAAACAAAGTAGAAAGGAAAATAACTGCGAGGGACGCGATGTCCAGATTTTGTCAGCCGCCAGGTGCAGATTCCAATGCAGGGTAAGAGATTTACTCTCGACTCGGATGCCAACTGCACACGCAAGTCTTCCATGTCTACTAGGCTTGCGTAACAAAAATGTGTACCCTCTTCCTCCCAAAGTACACACTCCGCCTGTTATCACAAGCTGATGAAGTGCATTATATATTAAAAGTTTAGGCCTCGCATGGTGGCTCACGCCTGTAATCCTAGCACTCTGGGAGGCCAAGGCAGGCGGATCGTTAGAGCTCAGGATTTTGAGACCAGCCTGAGCAAGAATGAGACCCCGTCTCTACTAAAAATAGAAATTAATTGGCCAACTAAAAATATATAGAAAAAATTAGCCGGGCATGGTGGCGCATGTCTGTAGTCCCAGATACTCAGGAGGCTGAGGCAGGAGGATAGCTTGAGCCCTGGAGCTTGAGGTCACTGTGAGCTAGGCTTATGACAATGCAATCAAGCTGGGGTTAGAAGAGTGAGGCTCTGTTTCAAAAAAAAAAAAAAAAAAAAAAAGGTTTAGATTAAAATATACCATGTAAAAAAAGAGAAATATAGTTTGTTTCCATAGTGATATCAGTTATACATTAAATTTTATCACTGTTAAAATGTTTTGGTGCTCAGAGACATATTAATATTACTGAACTTGTGTTTAACTAAGAGGTAAATGACCTTGAAATACTAGGTTGTTGTTCATATCAAATTCATCCTTCACTTTGTTGGCAAACATGTAAAAGAGGTAATGATACTTTTGCACACAAATTATGATTTTTCAAAATATTTTTTATATTTACAACTTGCTTAACCAGTGGTAGATATGACTACAGTTTAATTTTGTTTTATTTCAATTTAAAATATTAGATGAAATGAAAGTTTTATGTGTCTATTTCATTTTATTTTTTCCAATCAAATCGCCCTCATTGTTGGCATCTAATCATAAAGACATGTCTCAAGTATTTGGTCAATCACCTGTCATTATGCTCGGTCACGGCACATGCGACAGTCTTGCATCTGCTCCTTGAAGCAAGCCTTTGTCTAAGGCAAGGAAGGCTGGCCCGCCGTCTCTCTTTACACGGCTTTGATAAACACAGTGGGGTGCCTTTTGGAGCATTGGATGTGAAGTAACAGACACTGAACACTTCCAGACAGGCGAGTGGTGACGTGTGGGGGGAGGGTTAGGCCTTGGGGTCTGCCTGCAGAGAAATGCGAAGGGACCTGGGAGGAAGCCCCCCCCCATGATTCCGCAAGACTGTGCAATGCACCGACCTTCTCTTCTAATCCCTGAGTCAAATATTAGCATCCTACAGGAACTCTGCACATTGCTTATGCTTTATCAAGGTTCCTTGGGTAGATGGTTGAATACAAATTAATGGAAGGGTGCAATGGGCACCTTCTTCCAAATGCTGATTTTCCACAATTGAATTCCCCAAATCGAGGGGCCCGATCCTGTTGGTTGTTTCTGCTGTCCGCCTGCTGGAATCTAACAAGGGTAGGGTCACAGAGGCAGTCGCTCCCCTGTTCCTTCCAGCAGGGAGGGGCACCTGCGTGCTCTGCTGACCCTTTAAATACCAGACCAAGTTGGCGTGGCACAAACAGGGTTGTCCATTGGACATGAGGTGATTAAAAAATAGCAGGTCCAACTTCTGTAGCGCCGATGACTGAAATCAACTTCTCAAGGAAAACAGAGAAGAGATGTTCATCTTTCAGCACACCTGACCAGGTGAGTGAGACGAGACCGTCTGCATGAGGAGGACAAAGTAGCACATTCGCTCCTTGCTGAAGGCCGCATTGGAGACCCTGCTGCAGCTGGAGCGGCAAAGAGAGAGAAAGGGAGGAGAGCCCAGCTGTTAGGGAGCCCCGACATCTCAGGAGTCCCCACGTGCAGTCCAGGGACTAAGGGAACTGGAGACGCTAATGTCACATCCTCCATGGCACAGCCTGGCACCACCACTGGGGCGTCTCCCTGCATCCCCGTCCCCACCCACTCCCTGCCCCCGCTGGGCCCACAGCGGCCTCCGCGACCCCTGAACTAGCCCGTGTCTGGAGCCGCTGCCGGGCACGACTCGCTCCATAAACACATTGTGGACGGACGGACGCCTTGCACATCCCACGAGGGCGGATGTCTCGCATCTCTCAGGGTCCGTGCCGGCTGCGCCGTCTCACCCACGCAGGGGCGGGGAGGAGGGCAGAGCACCGCAGCAGGGGAGGCGGCAGCCCTGCGCCCAGGGCGGGCGGGAGGGAGACGCCCAGCAGGTGAGCAGCTCCCCTCGCCCAGCTCCGCCCTGGGGCTGCACACTGGCAGGTCCTGCTGTTCCTGGAAGGCTCCTCTGTCTAGACTCAGTGTCTGCTGCGAGTGTCCCTCGCGGGAGCCCATCTCCTCTCAGACCCAGGGCACTGTCACCCATCCCTGGTCACCGCGGAAGGGGCTGCTCAGGGCGTCGCCCCAGAGCCCTCCGCTCGCCCCTCTCTGCAGCCTCCTCGCCCCAGACGGCGTCACCTCCCCGCACGGCCTCTCCTCGTGATCCAGGCGGCCTCCCTGGACAGGCTGCTTCCTACCATCAGTGTTTAGCATGCAGGACAGAGCGTGTGGCTTCACGGGTTGAGGACGGAGCGGGGTGCGGCCGCGCACGCTGTGGGCGACAGTGGCCTGGCTCTCAGGTGACTCCACTCTCAGGATTCCCACTGAGACACTGCACTCTGCATAGCGAGCAGCAGGGGGCGCTGTGGGCCTCCCAGGGTCTGCACAGGGGCCACTCACAGCTGTGCCAGCGCCCCCAAACTCCCCAGGGCTGGCACAGGGGAGCCTGACAACACTCAGCAGCTGTGTCTGACCCGGGTGAGGTCTCAGCACCTGCCTCTTCCCGGGTCCTGCCTGCCAGACTCCCCCAGCTCCAGCCCCCAGGTCCTGAGCAAGTGCATGGGGCTGGGAGGGGTGGGCAGCAGGGGACACATTTGCATGCATGGCCCCTCCCCTGTGAGGCCAGTGGAGGGATAAGGGGGGCCTGGGGCAGCCGCTCCAGCGCTGGACCTCGGGAGGACTGTGTCCACCATGGCCTGGGCCCCTCTCCTCCTCCTGTGCCTCTGCCACTTGTCAGGTAGGGTCAGGCCTCCCACATCCTGGGGAAGCTCCCTGGCCTGAGTGAGGGCCTGGGTCGCAGGTCTCCCAGCAGCTCGACCTTGCCAGTGATTCCTCACCCACGGATATCTGTGTCTGCAGGTTCCCTGTCCCAGCCTGTGCTGACCCAGCCGCCCTCCCTCTCTGCATCTCTTGGAGCATCAGCCAGGCTCACCTGCACCCTGAGCAGTGGCACTGTTGTTGGCGGCTATCACATATCCTGGTACCAGCAGAAGCCAGGGGGCCCTCCCAGGTATCTCCTGAGATACTACTCAGACTCGGACAAGCACCAGGGCTCCGGGGTCCCCAGCCACTTCTCTGGCTCCAAAGACGCCTCGGCCAACGCAGGGATTCTGCACGTCTCTCGGCTGCAGCCTGAGGACGAGGCTGACTATTACTGTATGACATATCATGCCAACAGTGGCACTTACACAGTGCTCTAGACCTAGGGGGAAGTGACACTAAAACCTCCCTGTGCTCTCCCTGCCAAGTGCAGTCACTGCTGCCCTGCCCTGCCCAGGGCCACATCAAGCTAGGGGTTGACTTCTGTGTTACTTTTCAACCAGCACCTGCTTTTCCTAGCAATTATGTATGCAAGTATGTGTGTAAAATGTGGGATTTTTATATTGCCTTTATTGGCTAAAGTGTCAATTTGATCTATTGCTAATATGTTCTCAAGCTTATTTTGTCTGTAGTTGAGTAAATCAGTTCCCCGGGCTCAGTTTCCCTCCAGGGAGATTATGGGTGAGGAAGGAGATGGCTGAGCGCACACGTGCTGTCTCAGTGCCCTTTCCTCTCTTGTAACAGAATACCACAAAGTGGGTTATTTATAAAGAATACAAGTTTATTTGCTCAGAGTTCTGCAGTCTGGAAGTCCAAGTGCACGGTGCAGGATCTGGAGAGGCCTTCCTGTTGCTGGATCCCGTGGCCAATGGGCAATCCGAGTGTGAGGAGGAGAGAGTAAGTCAGGGTGAGCTTCGCCCTTTGCAGGATCCTGCTCCTGTGATAACCATCCCTCGGCAGCAACAAGGCGCTTGGCCATTCACGGAGGCAGAGCCCTCGTGGCCTAACCACCTCCAAAGGCCCCACCCCTTGGTACTGTGACACTGACAGTTCACTTTCACCATGAGTTTTGGTGTGGACATTAAAACGACAGCACGTGCCCAGCACAGGGTGTAGGCGCGACTCAGAGACATGTGGGGACAGAGAGCCTCTGCGGGGCCCCTGGGCCCAACACCACAAGCCCAGCTCCACCCACCAGCTCCAGCAGTGAGGTCGCCTTCCCCTGTTGCTGCTCGTCCAGCCTGTCCCTGGGACCTGCTCCTCCCTCCTGAGGCTCAGAGGAAGCAGGTGTCTGCAGCTCCAGGGGTGTTGGGCTAAGAGTCTTCTCCGTAGTGACAGGTGATTGTGTCTCTGACCTCCCAGTGTGCAAAGGACACCCAGCTCCAGGCTTCCTTTCCCACTGAGTCAGGTCCTGTAATAGCCACCCGCTTTGTACCCTAAAGTCATCTGCTGCTCATGCTGTCTTCAGTGTTGTGGGCGACACCCAGGGATGGAAGATATTAAGATAAGATAGATGCACTGCCGAGAAGGCATTGAAGAATGAGCAGAGTTACATAGGACAGCTGTGTCCCTACTGTGGTGTTTCAGGAAGTGACTTTGGGGACACCTGCCTGACCTGGTCTCCCCTCCTCACCTCCCTCTCTGCACAGGGGCCTGTGAAGGGGGATTGGAAACGGCTCCACAGGAGCGACTTCACTGTCCCTCTGTCAGCCCCAGTGCAGGGTGGGGCCTCTGCCCTGGCTTCAAATAACAGTGATTGTCAGGAAGACAGTCTGTGGGTGACGCCAAAGGCCCTAAGAGGATGGCCTGGCCTCGGGGAACCTGGACTGCCCTCTGCTCCTCCCACAGTGACCTCAAATCCCCCTTCGTTGCCCAGGAGCCATGGGCACTGGCCCAGTCTTAGCTTTGCTTCTCCCTTGACTTCCTGCTGACTCTCCTTTCATTTCTTACTTTATTCCCTCTCAATGTATAAAAGGATAGAGCTTTCAGAGGGTACTCATCCTGGAATGCGACACCAATCTCACCCAGCAGCAGAGCCCAGCCCAGCTCTGCCCCTTGGGAGGTACATTAGAGGCGGAAGAGCCATGAGCCTTGCTGAGCCCGTTCTTGGAAGTGTCACCAATAAAGCCTGATTGGTGCTGACACCACAGGGCCTTGTGCTGTTGCATTTGCAGGCAGTGCCCAGTGAGGACGATGGGCCTCCTGAATATGGATTTTGTGGAGCATGGACCCGCTGGCCTGATGAGTTGGGTGGGGAGGCACATCCTTGTCTTGGTGGAGAGCTGCTTGGGTGGGATTGTCGCTGTCCATGTGGCAATGGGGTTATGTTCAGTATCACAGATGCCCTGGACCCTCAGGTTTGCGGGGGATCTTGGGTTAGGAGATCAGATGTCTTCTCCTTGATCCTACTCAGTACTGTGGAAGTTCCTTCACACGCCCTGCAGGGCACCATCCCCAGGCCTGGAGCAGTCTGGCCCTTCTGATCTGAAGCCAGTTATCAGGCCATTTCCTGCTCAGGGGAGCACTGTGGGTGTGTTGCGCTTTTGTTCAGTCATGGAAGGGACTTTTCTGGAGACTCAATGTAAACTGCAGCACCCCTGGTGGCTGTCACCATTTTTCAACACTTACTTGTGTAGGCTGGTATTGCTCTCCTGCTCGGGAGGGGACAGTTCCTTCCATGTCAGCCCTTGCCCTGGACTGAGGAAATGCAGGTGGAGTTGACACCTATGGAGGAAGTCCTGACTTTGTGCATCAGTCTGAGGGTAATGCGGGGGGGGAACGGGACAGACTTCAGGGGCTCCATATTCTTTGCCCAAGCGACAAGTGACCAGAAAGGTGGACCAGATTTTCATCCAAGGCTGAAACATATTTTTACAATAACCTTCCTGAAATTCTACTTGCATATGGTAAAATATTTTCTCTGTTGAGATTTATATCATAGGTGAATTATTACAAGTTACAATTAGTAAATTATAATTGCCAATTATATTATCATCTTATATAGGACACCAGAAAGCTGTTGAAATAATGAAAGAGAATGGAGTAGGAGTTGGAAGGGAAAGAGTTTTAAATGATGGCTCCACGTCCTTACTCACTGTAGTCATTTCTGAATGATGTGTTTGTGCCATCAGAGAGCCACTGTCCAGCCCATAGGAAATAGCAGAGCTGTAGTGGATTAAATACGTTAGAGAGGTTGAGTAACTAGATCTGACGTTAAGATGTTGATGAACATTTTTTTGGATATCGGAGTTGAACCTGCCAGAGTAGAGAGTTCCTGTTGAACACATGTGCTAACCTAGTGATGATGCTAAACCAGCCGTAGAATAACTCTTCTTCCTTGTCTGCGAGAATCCAAAATGCTACAGCCGCTTTACAATGCGGCCCGGGTGACGCTTGAGATGTTCAACATATTCTTACATTTAATCCAGCAATGGCATTAGGTATTCACCCAAACCAGTTGAAAACATGTCCACACAAAAAGTTTCACATATATGTTTATAGCAGCTTTGCTAATAATTTCTAAAACGTGTCAGCAACCAAATGTTTTTCGATAGGTTTACAGGCATGCAGACTTTGACATATCCTACAATGGAATATTATTCAGTGATTAAAAATAAATGCGATATTGGGCCACAGAAGGCGTGGAGGGGACTGAAATGTATTCTGCTGAGAGAAGGAAGGCAAGATGAGCAGGGCACACACTGTATAATTGCGGCAATAAGATGTTCTGGAAATGTAAAAAAATACAGAGATGGTAAAAGGACCAGTGCTCCCCAGGAGGTGGGGTAGGGAAGGGAGGATCAACAGGCGGAGCACAGGAGACTCTGAGGGCAGTGACGCTGTCCAGCACGCTGTCGTAGGGTGGGTAGGTGACAGTATGCATCGGGCAAAACAAATACAACGACACCACGCAAGAACTGGACCCTGACATAAACCATAGACATAACTTCTTGATGATGCATCGGCTTTAGTTTGTCAATATTGATTTATACAATTTTATCAAATGTACGACAACAATGGAAGATATAAAAACAGGGGAGCTTGGGGGTGGATGCGAGGGGTACATGAGCTCTCTCTGTACTTTATGATGGGTTTTTCTATAAACCTAAAATTTGTGTAAAATAAAGTCTTAAAAAAATCTAATGAGAGAAATCATCATTAGGTCCTAACAGTAAATATTCGAGAATATTTACGTTACTTCACAGTTGGAGTTTATGTCGCTGAAAACACCAAAACAAATAAACATATTCAAAAAAACCAGATTAGTTAGCATTCAAAGCACAGTACTAGGGGAAAAATTCTCAAGACACAGCAGAACAATAAACAATTATTGCCCTGTGATGGCGTGAGTGACACCTAGCACACATAAAAAAATATGGAAATCAACAACAGTAAGAGTAGAATGAACCCAACAGTATAAACAGGACACTCAAAAGGGAAAATACGACTAGACAAAAATTACAGTGCAGAAGAGGTGGAGGGAGCCACGCTGGTGTGGGGTGGGGACATCCCAGCAGAGGGACCAGCAGGTGCAAAGGCCTGGAGGCTGGGGCAGGCTGTGGGCAGGGCAGAAAGTGCGGGAGGTTGGGATCATAAAGCAGGCTCTGCACCCACAGTAGCCCCCCACTGCCAGCCACTCTGGCTTAGGCGGATGTGCACTGGCAGGAGGTCAGCTCTCAGGAAACCCGGCCCCAAAAGTTCACCAAATTCCAACGTCTGTGAGAGACTTGTAGAAGAAGGGTGGGGCAGGCCGTAGATGGGAGTGTCCTCCTTGCACCTGGACTCCCCACTCCATCCTATGGGCCACCATGGGTCCCTAAAGAGCCGGTGGTGTGGTTGCACATTTAGTTTCTGTTGTCTCTTGCCTCAAACCCTAGCCCTCGTCCCGGAGAGTCAAGAGGGCTACTCTGTTTAAATAACTTGTGTTTGTCGTGCCCTCTGTCCCATCACTTGAAGATTTCTCCTTTCTCCAACAAGAGTGTTTTGATAAGATCCCTCCTGGAGGACAAAGAATGGTCCCTTCTGTCTTCTGTGTGGCCCCAAATTATGGCCCCCAACCAGGACGATGCAAGGTGATCAGCACAGTCCTGGATCCAGTACCACTGTCCTCAGTGGGTCATAGGCCCCGAGGGACTGTGGCCATGGGACAGCAGGGGGCGCTGTGCTGTGTGCTGAGGTGGAGAGGGCTGGAGGTCTCCAAGCAGAGAATAAGTTTAGAGGCCCCAGGACATTGTGCAAGTGATTTTCATCTGATGGAATTATGAATATTTTCCCAATTAGAAACAAAACTAAATCTCAGTCCTAAAGATCTAACTTAAAGATCTAACTGTGCCCTGAAAGGTCTAACTCAGTTCCTTTTCACCAGCCACTGAGAGGAGTG